ACTAATAATAATAATAATAATATACCCGTCACACAAAACTTGTCTAGCGTTGCTTGGTGGTGTAGTGGGTAAGGCTGGGACGTCCGATAAGACCGTTCCTCGGTACGAATACCGATGGGGACAACATCACCCACTGTGCGTCGTGGACTACACTGCCAGCCACTATCCGTCGTTACACTATGAGGTTTACTGTGGGGAAGTGCAGCGTAGGTGACTATTTCAATCCCGCCACTATTGCATGTCATGTGCGATTTTAGTGCTGAGCAGTAAATAGATGGGTTTCTCACTAACGTCAACTTATTTGAACAACTGGTGTGATTCTCAAGTAAGTTACAGTACCATTGTAAACACAACTGAGAATTTGAAAAATCTTTCCTGGTAGAGCACGAGATTGATTTCAATTACTGTGTTACCTGAGTTCATTTATACATTATCCTTCAGTAAATCCGTATACTAAGAGGATATTCAGCTGACATCTAAGAACCTAGATTTCCTCTTAATGTCTATGGGGAATCCTTCACATCATGATTGATAATGTACGTGGATAAATCATTATGGGTTAATGAAGTGAAGTTTATTCTTTCGGTCCCCTTTTTTCCTGCTCGTCACAAATAAAGTTGACACTTTGCGCTAAAATAATGATTCGCTCCATAAACTTATGCTAGAAAGTAGTTAAAAGGGCTTCATTCAATAGCATCCTAGGGTATTATAATCCATGAAATCCATAACTGATTAGTTACTGAAGAGTAGCCGATTTCTTGTTGTCTAGTCCTCGGTACTGGCCAAGCTCTATCAACCACTTTGTAATATGGTCATCAGACTACAAGACTGAGCATTACAGGGCTTTTTGATTGATGCTAGATGATGGGAGATGGTTGGCAGGACTGTCGTAATGCATATTCAGAGGGATCATTATAATGCCGCTCACATATACCTACTGAAAATATCTAAGCGTATAGACAATATTCTATACCTTTGCACAGATTACTCACTAAGCCTACTATGATTACAGACAGATTTTTCAAACTAGAAGATTACCAACCTTCATGTCTTCACTCTTAAACTGACTTTTGTAGGCAAGTACAGTTCACAAATTTTTATTATGTATATCCGGTGATTGCTTTACTTCACATCATCTCCTTTTGTGATATTATTTTGGAAAAAAAATTCAAAACTTTTATACTTTTAATCAAACCACTTCATTAGCTTTTTGTGTTATGAACTCTACATTATTATTATTATATTATTAGTCCCTTGGGTTTCTAATGGAACATAGGGCTTCAGTAGCACGTCTCCAGTGAACTCTGTTCTCCGAAATCTTTTGAACCTGAACCACGACAGCCCAGAAGCTCTCATTTCCTCCTCGCACGACCTCCTCCATGTCACCCTAGGACGTCCAACTCGTCGCTTCCCATAAGGATTTCACTCGAGCAACTGGCCTGACGCGTGATGTCCCCAGTCGGCCTTCTCAGTGTATGCCCAATCCATCTCCACTTCCTTCCAGTGCATATTTGTTGCGTGATAGGTTCTTGGTTGGTTCGTTCCCAGAGTTCCTTGTTGCTTATTCTTGTTATCCCGGCCATCTGATCTGCAGTAGCGAGCCAGAGTATGCAGTTGTTGATGAATGTCTGTAGTTTATTGGAAATGCCTTTTGTAACGCGACAAGTCTCTCAACCATACAGAAGCACTGACTTGACTGGATTGGTGTTGAAAATCCGGATCTTGTTCCTCATGCTGAGTGCAGTGGAGGAGATCTCCACACTGGTTTCAGGCTAACGATAGACTGTCTTGCTTTTCCGATTCTGACTTTGACATCCTCGTCTGTGCCTGTGTTGCCTGTAGTTGAAACAGTGCTGCCTAGATAGATGAGGGAGGTTACTTTCTTTGAGTTTCTCTTTCGTTCATGGTGACTGGAGTTTGTTGTTGTTGTTGTTGGAGTTGTTGGTGCAGTATCTTCATCACTTCTGTCTTCTCTATATTCACCTGAAGTCCCGTCTTCGCTGCCCTGCATCACCTCTTCTGTCAACTTGTTAGTTTTCGCCTGTAGATCTTCAAGTTTGTGTGACATCAGGCGCAAGTCATCGTTAGCGAAATCCAGATCTTCTAGGTTCTTTTCCACAGTCCAGCCAGCGTATCCCTCTCTTCTCACTCCCCACTGTTTGCTGCATGATCCAGTCCAGTCGACCACAATCACGAATATCATGGGTGATAGTAGACAACCTTGTTTCACTCCTGTCTTCACTTCGCTTCAAAGGCATCACTGAGCTGAGCTTTGCATTGTGAGTTACTTGGCATGTGGCGTCTTCATATACTTGTTGAATGAGGCGGATAAAGGTTTGTGGTATTCCGTAGTATTGAAGCAGTCTCCAAACTACCTCTCGGTCGACACTGTCAAAGGCCTTCTCAAAGTCGATGAAGTTGAGGTACCGTTGAGTCGACTGCCATTCTATACTCTGTTCCATGATGATGCGAAGCGTTGCAATTTGGTCCGCACATGATTTGTACTTCCAGAATCCAACCAGCCTGTTCCGGTCGTAGTTTTGAATCCAGTGTATCCTTTAGTCTCTCCAGGATGATGTGGGATAATATTTTGCTGGCTTGGGGTGGACCGGAGCTTGATTCCACACCAGTTCTTGCAAACACTCAGGTCTCCCTTCTTCGACAGTTTGACAAGGTAACCCTTCTTCCAATCAATAGACAGGTACCTTCTCTTCCTTCCACATCTTCTGCGATAGAGGTGTGGTGTGAGCATGTCCGCCGTTGTCTTTGCGTCTGTTTTCAGTGCTTCTGGTGGGAATCCATCTGGTCCCGCTGCTTTCCCACATTTCAGTAGCTTTATGGCGTTCAGGACTTCCATTTTTGTTGGAGGATTTATGTTCACTTGTAGTTCTGTGGCTGGGCTGCAGGTGGTATTTCTGGACGAAGTGCAGGTGGTGGTCGATTCAAGAGCTTCTTGATGTGGTCGGCCCATTGTTTCCTTTGTTTCTCTTCTTTCGTAATTAAATTTCCGTCATCATCTTTTATTGGTTTCGTCTGCGTTGATCTGCTCCCAGATAGCAACCTGGTTATTTGATACAATGTCGTCAGGTCTCTGTCTCTCCTACCAGCCTGCAGCCTGTTCTGCTTCACTTGCCAATGTTTCGTAGAGGTGTCTTTTGTCTTTCCGTGCACTCTTCTTCACTTCTTCGTTCAGTGTTTTATACATTGTGCTCAGTTCCCCTTCTTGTCGTTGAGCATCCTTGCACTGGTTTATCTTCTGCTTCACCATCCTCCTCTCCTCTATCAGCTTCCAGGTATCCGTCGAGATCCATTCCTTATCTTCTTCCTTCTTCCTTCCCAACACGGTTGTGCAGGTTTCTCTCCACATCTCTTTCAAAGACTTCCAGTGTTCTTCCACACAGGTTTCTTCACGGATGTTCCTCGATATCTCCCATTTTGTCTTGATGGCTGACTGAAGTGAAGATCTCCTTTGTAGTTTCATGCTTCAGTTTCCGAGTGTTGTACTTGAACTGAGGTCTATCACCAGCTTCCTTGAAGGCTTTCAACTTGATTTGGAAGGTTCCTTGCACTAGATAATAATCTGAACCCACATCTGCTCCTCTTCTTGCCCTTGTGTCAAGTAGACTGCGTCTCCATTTTCTTGAGATTGAGATGAAGTCGATTTGAGTTTTAGTGTGTCTGGTATCTGGCGAAATCAATGTCACTCGCTTTGTGGATATCCTTGTGCTTGAACACACTGCCTCACTGCAATCACCAAATCGTTGAATGCACAGAATTCTGCAAACAATTCTCCATTCTCGTTCATCACCTCACCGAGCGCTTCTCGACCCATGGTTAGTTCTCTTCCTGTGTTGTCCCCTCCCAGTTTGGCATTCATGTCGCCCATTAGAATTTTGATATCGCCAACTGGAGTGGTGTATTGTCCAGTGTTGATTGAAGTTGTCTGTAGAATTCCTCCTTTTTCTCTTCATCTGCATTATTTGTAGGTGCGTAGAGCAGCATTGTATGATTGTGACCTTTCTTCCTTTTGAGTTGAATCCATCTTGCAGTCATGATCCTGATCGTGGAGGAGATAGGTTCCCACTACATGAGAGACAACCTTCGATGCTCTTCAAGGGGACATCATGATAGCCACTCCAACATTCAGTGTGCTCGTGGTTGTCGTCTGAGTGACAATGTCGGAGTAGATTATTGATTCTCCCGTTGACAGTTTTGGAGAGTCCACTCCCATTCCATCTGCTTTCGCAAATCCCAAGCACTTCAATGTTATACCTTCTCATCTCTTTTGCAATCTGGGCTGCCTTACTGGGTTCGAACATCGTGCGGACATTCCATGTCCCCACGTTTACTTTTGCTTTCATCGAGAGAAGACACATCGGCCAATTGGCTTCCCGAAGGCAGGCTTTCACCAACAGGTGTCATTTCGCCTCTCCGATTCCAGCGGGGAATAAGTTTGTTTTTATTTTTTATGTTTTGTTTGTGCTTTGAAGTTTGTTTAGCGGTTAGATTTGTTTTACGGGGTAGGTTTGCCAGCCGTATGCTCAACCTTCCCTCTTTACTTGGGCTCAGGACCGGCTAGTAACCAGTGAACTAGTAAACCAGGCGAGGTTATGAACTCTACATATTATGTAGTAAAGACCATTTGTAATAAACTGGAATTGGTAATATCAGTCATCTTCAGAGCAAATATCTTATCACTGTTCTGCATGCAGTCAAGTTTTCATAAATCATTCGAGAAAAGCGAAGTTATTAGCTTATTGATGAAGAGAAACCATTCACGTTATCTTAAACCAGGACACAATAATATTACATGAGAATGATTTGACCGTATTGAATGTAAGCAGGAAAGGCAAAGATTATACTATTACTTATGTGAAGCAAAATATAACTTGTTCATTCAAGTTCTCTTTGAATGAATAAGTTAGGTTAAGAATATTTTCGTGTGAGCTCAAAATGATGCTGGCATTAGTATATAAAGCTGTATATTAGCATATAATGCATTTTACTCTTATAAAATTGGTAGTCGGTCAGGCTATATAGACCCTGTGAAATGAAGCTTTTGAGTGTAGGTTGATAATCTAATTGTTATATTTAACTAAGAATATTATCGTATTCTCTAGCCAGATCATTTATTCATCTAATTCTTTATTTTAGGTGTATATCATCGCTTTGCTTTCTGTATGTCCACCTACCATGATGAGTATAAATAATAAAGTATGTGATACAGAATTGGCGTTATCCATGAAACATTGTTTCCGAACATGCTTACGATATAGTAGTGAGTCTCTTTGATAAACAGTGTCGGGTTATTGTATTAATATACTAAAATATAACTAGTACGCAACACATGCATTCGACACAAACTTGGTATTTTATCAGATGCAATGTGTTGTTTATTCTTGGTGAACAAAATAACACCAACGACAAAATTGGGTTGATTCTAACAAAACAGCAGAGCACTGCTAGACATCCATCAGTAAACCTTCTGCCAACTTACATTCCCATTTATAGGTTAACTCTATCGATTTAAGGAAAGCATGAATAATGTTGATCTCAACTCTAACCACTTCCTGGAATGGAAAAAATCTATGGCCAAGGAACATTTTAAGAATATCGGTTAGGACGTCCTGAAACAATTATGCAGTATATTTTTATTCAAGTGTTAAGTGTTTCTGGAGATATAAGGTTTTCAAGGTTTTCAACTTTGAACTACCTCATAAGTGTTGAATAATGAATCTCTAACCATCTAATGAAGGTTAACAATTCAGTGATTACTCACTAGTTTTAGAATTCATATTTGTCTACTGATCCATATTGTACATGCTTGAAATTCAATGGATGTAACAAATGGAATACCATAACATCTCTTCACATGAGTTACGAGCGACTCGATACTAATATGTATTAAAATCAGTTAAAAAGAGTTTTGAAATTTTCAGCACAAGTGAATTTCAAACACGCATTGTCTTGCAGAGTCACATACTTGTAACGTTTTGTAATTTAAGAACCAATTCTATTTGAACATTTCATCGTCTAACGATGAAAGTACTGGTTGCTGAATGAATGATGTTCTATGGAGTTGTGTAATCAACTAGTCTCCACTTGCACAGATCCGTCTCGACATTGTGTACATAAATAGAGACTTTTTAATACAAATACTATTTTTGTGATTGACAGCCAATGAAGAAAATCGAAATGAACTCAGCAGTCACATGAATGCCTATTTATTAAACAATCAGGCATGTACTTTGTGTGAGGGCTAGTGAAACTACTTGGTCGCTCAAAACTTAATAGGTGGAGCACGGTTTGAACCTATAACCCCCCAGTTGCAAGTTGAGTATTTAAATCAGTGTAACACCACACAAGATGTTTCGCATCCTAAATTAGACAGAATTTATAAGTTTGTTTTTGATGATTACTTATCACTATCTCTGTGAACCGATGATTCAAGAAATAATATCTTTACTTCCTCTCTCATAGCGTTAGTACTAAATAACGTAGTCAAGATGTCAAAAAAATTCCTAAATTCTAGTTGGAAAATATTCATATATTTTGTGACACTACTGATTATTGGCTGCTTTTTGTTGATATATGGATATTTTGATGTTTATAAAGTTAGTTGACAAAATTAGCTTTTATTTCTACTTCTTTATTTAGAAAGACTTAGTGCAGATAATGACTTGAAGGCCATGAGGCTACTGTGCATGGCAGATCAAACTTCCAAGCTTGCTGCAAAGCAATGTCTTCTTAAAGAATTTTCAAAAACAAAATTTGATAAATGTCCTGTTATCAAAACATATATCAATTCAGTTGATCGGCTTTTTAAATAGCATTAATGATACGCAACCTACCAGCGTTAACTAAAAAATTATTTCAACATCATCAAAAACAAATTGTCTGTATAATACCGTAGGAGTTTTTAACATATTTGAACAATATATGAAATACGGATTTTCAAAATGAGAATATGATTATTTCTCACCATTTCAGTTAAACAAACCAATAAAACCTTATAATAAATCTGTCTTGTTTCAATTTTGAGGTTTTTTGATGATTTATTTATTGATTTCAACTTAGTATTCATCATGGACTGGCATCATTTGAAGAAACGTTGGAAACCTAAGAGTACTGGATACGTGTTACTTCCTAGTATAGGAAGGCATTAGATGGAGGTAGCGTTATATCGTGAAATGATAGAAGTAGGAAATATTGACCACTGGACATCTACCCAGTGGCTCAATGGTAACGTTCTGGTCAAGGAACTCTGAGGTTCTTGGTCCCATCCCTGGCAGGTTCATCGGCGCGTAGTGCTGAGGAGTCCTGTTCTAGAACGTGACAGCTGTCCAGTGCTCCCAGGCTTCTAGTGTTTCTACAACTGGTGTCAGTCTATGATGAACACCAGCTTAAAATGTGTATTGTGTTTACCTTATAGTGGCATGGTATCTGAAAAAATGCTTGATGTATTTAATAAATATGAACTTCGGTTTACCTAAGCACTGATCACTGAGACTTTTTCCACATCCCTATCTTTAGATTATATTTTTTCAAAAAACATTGTGTTCTTTAGTATGTCATCCAACAGAGAATGGAATCACGAGATTTCCATTCTAATACTCTGCATGTTTTCTCAATATACAAGGAATACCTTGGAAGGTGTAAATGAACTTGAATATGCAATTATAATCACATGATTATGAAACAGCTGCTTATATAGATAGGTAACGGCGAAAAAATTAATATAAGTAGAATTCAGATAGTTACGTCGGTGGTGTGAAATGGAAAAGCAACAAACGTCAATGCATAGACAATGATACGTAAAAAGCCGTAATACTTGTTTACAACAAAAGTGTTTTTCATGACAGATAGACTGATAACCGTATCTTTTTGAACATAAGTTGAGTTTCAATCGTTCAATGGCTACCACTTCAGCTAAACGCAACAAATTTGAATTCATCTGTTCATTAATTATTTTAAACGATTTCTCGACATTAGCTTCATGTGCACTAGCAACAAGGCGACGAACAATGATGTAGTTGATGACTTTTCCACCTCTAATTCGCAAATTTCTTGGATTATGCTAGGAAATCCGGTCACAAACTCTTCTTTCCGTTCACCCAGTTTATGTGCTTCAGCACGTACATGTGAATCGATACGTGCAACTGGAGGTAACATCAAAAAGGGACTCGTCAACCTTTAATTATCTTAGTGTGCAATTTGTTTGGTAACGTGCGATTCAACGAGCAGCTAGGGCAGTCTTTATTCTACAATAAATTTTCCTAGAAACATCATATTTAAAACCGAGATTAAGAAAAACAGGCTACACTGCAAGGATCTTTATTAAGTGGATATGTCTTAGTATATTACCACCCATAATTCGTTGAATTCCCAGACCAAGGAAAAGAAACTTCTGATTTTGTTCATATTCCATTGTAAATTTTATGTTTTGGTGTGCTTTGTTTATTAAGCTAAGGGAATACGAGGCGTGTACCACCAATTTAATCGATCTTTTCGCAACGTGATAACCAGGGTAGGAAACTCAGCGTCATGCTGGACGTTGGCCGGGTTTAGATGATTCAATAGTAACGTCGATAATTCCAGCACTGGATGAGATGGACTCGGATCCTAGAGGGGATATCAGTCCCTCCTAAGTTGCAGATACGCCTTACTGATGAATGTTATTAAGCACGAAACCCATATTCAGGTCTTCCTGCTGATTTACTCTAACTATCTAACAGACTCAGTCTTTATTAGTAGTTTGGAGCCAGTCAACTGGAAGCCATGGACATAGGTTTTATGCTTGTTGATACCCGTCAGCAAGGCTCACCTGCAACCTCAACGGGAATGATGTCCTTCGTGAGGTTCGAAACCGCTTCACTCAATGTTACCAAGGAGCTATTCGGGGAGGGGTGACCTGCTGTAGATTCACTGATCGATCACCGGAGAGCAAACAATTTCATATTGTTAGTCCTGAGTGCTGACCGAATTCCGTCGATCATTTTGCACTTTGACCACCAGAATAAAAGGCTCAGAATTGCAGTGCACTCAGGATTAAACAACATAAAATTGTTTGCCCTCCAGTGACCAATTAATATAGTCTTTTCGAATGCATATCAGCGTCCCTGATATCCTGACGTTTCTCATTTAATGCCTTACATTCATTTCCTTCAAATAAAAGCAAATAAGCTTGGTCGGCTTGAGTACCTAGTAAAACAATCGTTAGAAGTTAGGAATGAGTTATTTTGATGGATCAGAAGTGCAAATTACAACATTTGAGGCTGAAACTTTTAAAAGTTGTATTCTTTGAATCTTGGTTATTCATGGAAGTGGTTTGGCAACAGAATATTAACGCATATTCAATATGAAACGGTGAGAACATTCAGTGGTTAACTTCTCCCCGCTGTTCTGCCTAAATAATGACACTAGCGCAGAAGCTTATTTTTTGTTTTTTTACTTCTTAAATGAAGTGTGCATGTGCAAACACAGTTGCACCTGTAATATATGCTTTTGTTTACAAGTGAGAATCTTGGTCATAAGTTCATTTATGCTTATTACTATTATTATTTCTATATAAATTATCTTGATTATACATTATTGTGTGTGAACTGCTTGAAAAAATGAGTCGAAACATGAACAGTTTGTTTAACTACGTTAAAATAGACAAAATATGAACATGAATAAATTGTCAGAAGAAAACAATATTCATGATCATACTCATTGAATAAACTGCATTGCCTCTCGGTAAGAAATATGCAGCTTATCTTAGCTTTCGGCTTGAAAGAGATTTAGACTACATAATCTAATAATAATAATAATAATAATAATAATAATAATAATAATAATAATAATAATAATAATGGCTTGATTTTGAAAGCTCTTTTGCGAGTACTCTACAGGAGTTTCCGCATATAATATATAGCTTTAGTTGAAAGCAAACAATATACATGTATACATCACAAAATGAAATAAGTATAAATTACACATAAAAGATAAGAATCATCATTCTACCCACAACTTTCTTGAACATGTACAGTCAGTTTAGGTAGACAATCACATAGGCGATTAGATTTATAATTCATAAATAATAACATGGTTTGTACTCATCACTTATTTTGCTTTCAAAACCAGAATTTAGTTTATTTGTAACACTTTCCTCATCACACATGGTACGAGGTAAACACGGCAATCTAGAGCTTTTATATATTGCAGCACGTGCATAGATTCTTATGTAATTGCTCGTTATCTTTCATGATGACCGAAATCCAGAGAGATGTGAGTGAACAGGATGCTGGGCATTTGAAAAAACTTCATCCAGATGTATACAAAAGAAAATAAGTTTGTGCACAACAGTTTAAAAAACAAGTTAGGTAGCACAAAAATAGACCTCCTGACAAAGTTTGAAGCAGTCTTGTGTCAGCAACACGGGAAAATATAAAAGAGTGAGGAATAAAAAAGAAAAAATCACGATTTTAAAAAAAATTACATAAAAAGCAGAGTTATAACAGATATTCTCAGATTACCAACGAAAAAATACAGACGGAAAACACCTATAAAACGGATAAGATACACGACAACAACGAACGTAAGAAAACTATTTTAAAACATATAGAGCCTCCTCCTGAGAAAATTCCAAAAGCCATCCTTAAAATATGTTAGCCAGTAGATTGCATACAGTATCAGCACATTTCGTGAATACAAAAATTGAAGCAACATCGAGACCTAAGGTGTGTGAAGGGTTCATGGATTTCAAACATCAGAAAACACATATCTCGGTGAAACTCTGCCAATACTCTTCATTGGAAATGTGTGGACAAGTAGTATGGGACGGGTGGGTTAGCGCAAACGATTTGTTCAAAGCACAGACGTCAACAGTCACTTCTTTACCAAGGTGTTCACTACCAGTGACGTTTTAAAACGTTTCCACATGCTGGAAGAGATTTTGCATGAAAACAGCTTCTGGTTATATAATACACTCAGACATATAAACAAACAACTTGATTCAAACTTCAAACGAAGAGAACAAACATTCTCACCTAGTTTTACAAATACGTTTCTATTCCTTCAAAAAATGCATGCTCATGAGAAAGGATGAGACGGAAGTGCATAAAAAGTCTTCACCCCGAAACATATATCAAAGCAAACCCTAATACACACCTCCTCACCCGAAAAAACAAATCATTAAAATAAGCTATCAAATGTGTTAGAGTGCACATTGTAGCATTTCTCTTAGATTAAGTATCTTGCGATGTGAATAGTTTCTATGTACAATTTCCTACATGTGAAGGCTGCTTTTGTAGTTTGCCATATATTTTGGAAAAACACGTGTAGTGTAATGATCCGAAAGTGACTGAACAAATTTCATTTGAACGCAAAGTTCAGGCTTTAAAATATTAATTACCACGGCCTCTGCAGTTTAAAGAAGTTTTAGGTGTATAGCTTTCACGAGATTTGTATGAACTCTGTTGATGGCAATGAAGTTGTTTTCTGCATTTGCTGAGTGGTCATAGTCAAGCAAATGTTCCAAAACAGAGCTTCGAAGTGTTCACCTTTCTCCACTGTGGAACCACGCTTTTATATATTCGGAAATGCGTCTGGAAAGCGAACACAGTATGGCCAATATACTCTACTCCACATGAGCAGGTGAATTGATAAACACACAACGAGTTGGCCAAGGGTGCTGGCTTATTCTTTATGCATAATCAAAGCACAGGGAAACAAAGAATATGGCTAGGGATAAGTAGTTTTAATAACTCTGAGAAAGGTAAGATATGAGTGCGTTTCTAAAAAAATAATGGGCCACAGGATCCCCATTATCTAGAGTCCTGATACTTTGGAAGATGAACTTAATTTTTTCAAAAATGTTTTGAGTGAAAACCTGAATCCATAGCGTTTCATTGCTAAGACTATGAAACAGAAAGCAAATAATCATTTTACTTCTATGGCTCCTATGAAGCCTTTTTTCATGAGCTGTCAGTTCAATAGAGTAAAAGTGATGCTTGGAACAGTTTCTGCATTGCTGCATTTCTTCACATATAACT